AATAGAAGCGGCAACACCGCATTGTCGAAAATATTTTAGTTGGCTAGAGAATGTCCGAATATGCCCTCCATTAAATTTTCAAAGTGATCCGTTGTCTGGTTCACCAGAAACGTCTAATGTGCCATCCACCGTGAATCAGCCTGTATACAAGTACACTTTTTGAAGTGACTGGAAATGACTCGGAATATGTTTTCATCTCCCAGTACACTGTTTGAGAAAGGCAAATAAATTTATCAACATTTTTAATATGTGATAAATTAAAACAAAAAACATTCTGTTCAAAAACTGTATAAAAGAAATGAAGGAGAGGTACTACATAAAACTAATTTTGGACAATATTCAATTATTTCACAGCGACTTCAGATGTGGTTACTCCCGAAATAATTCATCAAATTGCCAAATTTGTAGAAATGGAAATTCATAAAATATTGCATACCAACTTGATAGATAAAAGGGTGACCAAACAGGAGAAGGAGAGTTGATTATTTGAGAGTATTGACTAACCAAGTCAGATAATTTTTTGATGTGGTGGAAAATCCAACAAATACGGTACAACAGAGGGTTTTGAATCATAGCATGAGTCGATATTCCAAACTGCAAAAATTTCATCCGTATAAAATTCATTTCGTACAAGAATTGAGTGAAGTTGACTTTGATCGTAGAATCGAGTTCTGTGAAGTTATTGAATGAAAATTTCAACTTTGTCAACCACATATTGTTTATGACGAATCTATATTTTGTTTATACGGGCACGTAAATTGACACAATTGTAGGTATTGGTCAGACCAAAATCCACATTGGATGGAGGAAGTTCACACTCAACGGCCACAAAAAGTAAATGTCTGGTGTGACATTATTGGTAGACACGTCATAGGATTCTATTTTATAAACGGAAATTTGACCTCTGAACGATATTTATTACCTTTACAACAACATATTATTCCAGAGCTAAGACGATTATTCCTGAATAATAACAATCCCAATATGCCGGCAGAACAAATATGGTTTCAACAAAATGGGGCTCCTCCACATTTTGGACGTGGGGTACGGGCATATCTAAATGCAACTTTTCCTGATTGGATGCATGGGAGCAATTGAATGGCCAGCTAGGTCTCCGATATGACCTCACTTGCCTTTTTTTTCTATGGAGTCACATAAAAAAGTGGTCTACAAAAATAGGCCGCTAAATATCGAAGAGTTGCAAGAAAGAATAAGGCATGAAATTTATAACATTCCTCAAAATTTTGTTCAGCGAGTTCATTCCTGTCAGGAGGTAAATGTTAAACACTTTGAGCACGTTAGTAAATAGAATTTCAATGAAAATATTTGTTATTTATCAAAACTTGTTTTCTCTTTTTTTTCCTGGCATAACTATTGTTTTCATGAAATTGTGCATATCCTGGACATTCATTAAAAACTACACTTTATCGTTGCATGCATTTTTATCGACCCTGAACAATTATGCTTTTTTATTTTCTGTAAAAAAATTGTAATTAAATCGTAATCATATCCACATACTCCACCTTCTAACTTTCATAATAAATATCCATCATTTCGTGCTTTTTCTTCAATTTGAGATATCGAATTTTGATCAGAGTTGAAATATAGAATAATATATAGGGTGTTCTTTTGAAGAAAAAACATCATTTTTCAAGACTTTTTGACTGATCCTGTATACTCAATTTTTATTTAGTGTGAAAGATTACGAAAAAACCTAAAACTTTTGTATTTTAACATTTTTCACTAGATATCATACTTTAAGAGATAATCGACCGTTTCAATACATATCAGTGAACCTATAAAACGGGGGCTATAGACTTTTCTATTTCATCTGCCATATCCTCACCAAATTCGCATTTTCTTTATCTAACGAGATTTTGTTTGTTCTCATGCCATAATTAGTAAATTACTTTTTCGCTTTGTTCGTTATTTCGTTCACATTCTGCCAAACTTTTTTTAAATCATTTTTTATTAATATAGAATTTGTTTTTAGTTTATCGAATAAGTTCTCTCAGGAAATTTCTATATGAAAAGTTTATATTCATTTTGTTTTTCTACTGAGAAGTTAGCCAAAAAATTTCGTTTTCATTTGTCCCTATGGTGTATAGAAATATGAAGACCATCTGTCATCCATGGTTTCAATTATGTCTGGATCCTATGACGTGTCCACCAATAATGCCACACCAGACATTTACTTTTGGTGGCCGTTGAGTATGAACTCTCTCCATCCAATGTTGATTTTGGTCTGACCAATACCTACAGTTGTGTCAGTTTACGTGCCCGTTTAAACAAAATGTAGATTTGTGGTTGACAAAGTTGACATTTTCATTCAATAACTTCACAGTACTGGATTCTATGATCAAAGTCGTCTTCACTCAATTCTAGTACCAAATGAATTTTATACGGATGACATTTTTGCACTTTGAAAATTTTTTTTCACTTCTGTACATTTGTCAATATCCTTTTCTAGTTCATCAGTGTAGGTATTGTATGTAGATTCTGGGTCTCTAGATGGCATAATGGAATCTCAAGTTTCTTTCTCGAGTGCTTTCATGACCTTATTATTAGTGACGGTGATGAGTTTTTTATGCATATATCGATTGTTATCAAATTTTCAAGTTTTACCGACAACAGTATCAATGTAGTGATCGGTTATATCACATTTGAATTTATAAGCATTGAATATGATGCAGTTTTTTGAAATCTTCACATATAGGTAGTCAATTAAGCTTGTAAAGATACTCGTTTCTTTGATTGCTTTATTAATTAATAAAAAAATACCATTTCAGCCATCATGGATATGTAATTGTTAACTTGTGTGTCTGGCGTATTCAATATATTTATTTATATTTATGTTTCCAGGTTTGAGGATGGTGGATGATATGATGCAGTTATTAAATATGATCTACTACCTATCGTAAATGATATTTCTAATAAGTTGATTTCATTAAGGTGTATTATAGCAGAATAGAATTTGATATCTTTCGTAATGTGAACTATCGCACCATCGTTCTTGTTGAATTGAGATTAATTAGATAATGTATCAAAATTTGAAATGGAACAAATTTGTATATCATCAATTAGCCACGATTCAGATTATAATATAAATTTCAGGATGAGATTAAAGATGAAACTGAATTCTTCGAAGAAAAATAGATGATCCAGCTGAATTTGAATGTGACTGCTCTGGCCAAAAATATAGTATTAATTAACTGGGATCAAACATCTAGAGCTTCTGATACATTTTTAAAAGTTTATATTTTTTCAAAAGTTTATATTTCTGAATTCATCAGTAATACAATAATAAACAGTGATACATGATTCGTGATAAGTATTTAAATTATATATTTAGTTACATCTTTCTTGCAGGTGAGCCTAGTTTTCTTTCGTTCATTATGGCATAGATCTGACCATTGAATAACGATGCATTTTTCACCTTGAAAACGGATTTTGTCTCGTTAGTGTCTAGTTTAATATTTAATTAGGAATTTATTATGCCCAATATCTTATTCAGCAGATTTTCATCGGGTTCTTCAGTTACCAGTAAATAGATATATTGTTTACTTTAGTTCGTTGATGAATATTATCTTTTCTTGCTGAAAACTATCTACTTTTTGTTCTCATGTGCTGATCCTTCCTTTATAAGTTTTTACCTCCTCTTCAAGATTCCTGATTTTTTGTTCTATTCTCTCAGCTACCTTATCTGTTAGTCGACTGATTATTTGTCAAGCAAAATTTCATCGATGGATTCCTTGACTATGGCCGTTAAAGTTCTATAGTATTCATTTCACCCGATACAGGTTAGGTACTGTTTTCCACCTGCAACTTGATTTTTTTCATTACTACACCTTATTGTTGAACCTAAACTTGTTGACTTGGCATATGAATTAGCTTGCTATGAAACTATGTTTCTATTA